AATTAAGATTTATATTTAATTAATAAATATTACAAGTGTAACCATTCGAAGCAGTATACGGTAATTACTAATATGAGTATATAACTATTTTATTGCACTAATTTTTTTTTAGGTAGGCAAAAATTATATAACTTTTTGCCGTCATCCTTGTCCGCCACCCGACTTATTGGATATTGAACAGGATCCAGAAGAATTATCGCACGACAAACAGCAGCAATATATCTTTTCAGAAAAGCCTATAAGTCAAATTCAGGAATTCAGTAAAGGACAATTGGATGAAATTATAATGTTACCCACTCCTGTTCCATTATTGTCAGCATACGAAACTAGTAAACAGAAAAATGAGCAGCAACAATCGATTGTTGAAACACAGCTACCAAGTCTAACCGGTAAAAGCAATTCAGATTTATTTCGGGAAGTAGTCGGGGATCATCAGGAAAACAAAGAAGTGGATCGTGTCCGGACATATGAGGAAGAAGACTTGCATGAATTGCAATCACAACCGGGTCAGATCAATGACGAAATCAGCAAACCTATTCCATTTAACATGAATGATGAACAGGCACATCAGTTAATTAACTCTCAGGATTATCATGGACATGAAGAGCATGTTGATTACAATCAACAGCACCAGCATCAGCAACAACAACAACAACAAATCGAGGATTATTCTCAGCAAGGTGAATTTCTGAACGAGCATGGTACTTTTCGAGATGATTATCCGGAACACAACAGGAATCAACAGCAACAAGTTATTTCTGAAAGTGATAATGCAAGAGAAACTGAATCTGATGGGATTGACTATGGTTATGATGATGACAGTCAAGAAGAAACTCCGGCTTCTGCTGATCAAAAACCGATTCACCCAACCCAAAATGAGCATAAGCAACATGATCTTGCTGACATCTCAGATACACAGCAGCAGGAAGTACGGCAGCATTTAGAAGCACCATCTGATGATTTCTATCACCAGCAACAGGGACGACAAGAGTTTGGTGAACTTCCAGCTGAAGATTATCATCATGAGCAACAACTACATTCACAGCCTTCTGAATCTGAAAGTGATGAATACTATCGCCAGCAGCAGCAGCAACAAGAGTTCCCTACAGCTTTACCTGAAGATTACCGTCATGAGCAACAAGTACAATCACAGCTTTCTGAATCTGAACATGATGAATA